AAGTCCTTACTTAATAAAACTGGTTTATTCTTTCCGAATATAACTTTACCGATACACTCAACTTCAACAATCGCGCTAAAACAAACGCTATAACAACGAACGTGCGCAGTAATACTCTCTGACTGCAGATCAATTACTCACTGTCTTCACACACATTGTCACGTCACGCCGTGACCATCTTATATATACCAGACCCCCCCCCCCAATCTAGTAAATGCTAGAGCACTCCCGAAGGAACGGGATAGTTCTAGAAACGTGGCGTGACACTAGTCATGTGACCTCGCTGACGCAACAATATCATATGAAGTTATAACTGTAGGCTACACTTAATGTACAATATTTCAGAAAATAAAGGAACAGAAGAATCGAGGTTTGTATTTAAATCCTTTAATCGTTAAATGAAAATAAAAATAGTAATTCCATGTAAACTTCCTTTTATAACCATATCTTATAGACATCTTGTATTTTATAAAATTATATTCATGACTGAAAATTTCACATAGTGTATATATTTGTAAATCGGAAGAATATAACTACTTGTTCTATAATTAATGTTTTTTATCTATGCATATTCAAAGTTTTAAAGCCTAAATGAAGATATTTGACTATTATTTTATGCTTTTAAGTCTGTTCAATAAGGAAGACAAAACTCATGTACTACTAGTCTGTTCAATAAGGAAGACAAAACTCATGTACTACTAGTTTGTTTAATAAGAAGACAAAACTCATGTACTACTAGTTTGTTTAATAAAGAAGACAAAACTCATGTACTACTAGTCTCTTCAATAAGGAAGACAAAACTCATGTACTATTAGTTTGTTCAATAATGAAGACAAAACTCATGTACTACTAGTTTGTTCAATAAGGAAGACAAAACTCATGTACTACTAGTTTGTTCAATAAGGAAGACAAAACTCATGTACTACTAGTCTGTTCAATAAAAAAGACAAAACTCATGTACTACTAGTCTGTTCAATAAGGAAGACAAAACTCATGTACTACTAGTTTGTTCAATAAGGAAGACAAAACTCATGTACTACTAGTTTGTTCAATAAGGAAGACAAAACTCATGTACTACTAGTTTGTTTAATAAGGAAGACAAAACTCATACACTACTAGTCTCTTCAATAAGGAAGACAAAACTCATGTACTACTAGTTTGTTTAATAAAGAAGACAAAACGCATGTACTACTAGTTTGTTTGATAAGGAAGACAAAATTCATGTACTACTAGTTTGTTCAATAAGGAAGACAAAACTCATGTACTACTAGTTTGTTCAATAAGGAAGACAAAACTCATGTACTACTAGTTTGTTTGATAAGGAAGACAAAATTCATGTACTACTAGTTTGTTTGATAAGGAAGACAAAATTCAT